AAAATCATCTAAATTACAAATAATCTGTTGATAGTACAATGGTAAATCTCTGTTTAGTCTAATTTGGATCACAGTCCTATATTTGGGGCAAAATTTGAACTGTCTATGAGTGGTGTTAATCTGAATTGTTTATGAGTCTGTTCTAGTCATCATTGTTTGTTATAAACATTTCTCACCCTAATAAGTATTTAAGCAAGGATGAAATAAAATTCAAAAGCAAGTAAAAAATTCTTTTCTTCAATGTAGAGAGGGAGAATATATAACTTTTTAATGAATTCTAAAGAATGATTTGGGATCCATAGGACATCAAGTTGCTAGATTTTTTTGTCCTCTTTTATTTGGTAAGAAGATTTTGATCTTAAATAAAAATGAATTCTTTTAACTTCCGATAAAATATTCTGAAAATTCCTCAAATCAAAGAATTATTGGGGCCATAATATATATAACAGTAAGAATAAAAACAAAATATGTACTAGGGATTGAACCCGGGGCCTTACACATACTAAGCAATTGCTCTACCACTGAGCTACACCCCAGCCCTAAAGCATGACTTAAAATGCATGAAAAGAATGCAACAAAACTGACAGTCTTTGAGACTTAAAACTCTCTCACAATCTATCAGAATAAGGAGTTAAATGAACTTTAGCATTTAGTGAACAAAGACAAATACAACAGAAAATAATATTAAAATAATAAAAAGAAAACAGAAGAGTATAGATCAACTCGTATACAAAGTACAACTACTTTTATTTTATCCCTCAATATTTTTTACTTTCATAGTAATAGAGAAAATGTCAATACATCATTTAAGATTGCTACTATAAAATTAAGTTTTTAAAAAAGTGTATACCCTGTGCTTAGAAGTAAATAAGTTGACATCAAGGAAAGAAGTATGCTAAACAATCGCCGGAAGAGAACTGGAGAACTCAGCAGTGGCACAACCAAGGAAGAGGCTGCAATAAAACAGAGCAGGTCAGTGCAAGGCACACAAACAATGTTAGTTTAGATGCTCTAGATAATCAATTGTCATTCATGGCATTTAGTATTTGTGTTACCTTTACCATAAGGCTATATTTGCCCTAGTGAATTCTGTAAGAAATCAGAAATTTTGCATGTTTAATTAAAATTTTATTTTACTGTTTGACCTGTATTGGTTAAATAACTCAAATTTTCTCAAAAAAATACTTAGACTAGATCACTGTAGTAATATTAACTCCTAAGTGAATAATTTATTTTGCAATGAAGTAATATATATTAAAGATTCAGCAAATCATCTTTTAATTAGGCATTTATATCTTGACCCAAAGACAACTTACTCCCTAGAAACTGATTTTCCCTAATCCCCTACTCCCCCAAGGTTTCCCACTACAATGTACACACTGACACTGTAATCTGGAATGACTTCACCAGGCATTACAGCTGTAATATGAGTCATAATAACTGAAGCAATCTTCCCCCATAGGATAAGAAAAGCAACTACCTCAATAGCAGCAATGCAGATGAAAGGGGGTAGACCAGCAAAACATAAATTCTCTCTTTGCTTATTTTGGAAAGTGTATCGCTTGTACCCAAAATGTCTCCCAAAGCCTTATGCAGTCATAGATGGGGGTTTTTTGGAGGTGGCTGGATGTAAGGTGTGTGTTGCTGGGATCAAGGATGTGATGCTGGAATCATGGTGTAATGTTAGGATTAAGACTGTCCCACCTTGGATGTGAGTGCTACCTGCCCTAAAGGTGGGTATCCGAGATAGAATACAAAGACAGAAAGGTTTGCTGTTACTGCTTGTTGCTTGCTGCCTTTGCTGTCTTCTGCCAGCCATGAACTGTTTCTCCTTCGTGATGACCCTCTACCATGCCAGTATGTCTTGGAGTCAGCTGATTATGGACAGAAACCTCTACAAACTATGAGCTGAAATTGAATTGAAAGGTACTTAATTTATTAATCCTCCTAATGCTCCAATGTATGGAGATTTGGGACAGAATCCTACTGAATTACTCATCAATCGCTTAATTGTGGGGTAAGTTTGTAAACCTAAGGAGAAACTTACCCATCTGTCAAACAAGGATAACATGAAGAAGTTGTGTGATTTAAATACAATTTTACCTATAAAATGCTTCCTGAGTACAGTGGCTGACACATAGTTCTTATAGCAACTGTTAGCTGCTATTATCACTAGTAATCAGTATCTCCTAAGTTAAATGTAAAAACAATTTCATTCAAAGTGAAGTTTCTGCAAGATTTAAAGCTGTACAAGTTGTATTTCTGTCAGTTCAAATGAGACTTATTCTGTAAAACTGAATATTTGGTCCTTGTTTCATCTTTATATAAAGGTTTGATAAGGTACTAATGACGGATTAAGAGTTTCCATTCTGAGCAACATAAATTATAACCAGTTTTGTAATATGTTACCCATTTGTGTATCAAATAGCATGTTAGAAAAAAAAATGCTCATGTAGCTTGGCCATGGTGTATCAGTACTTAGTCAAGATCTTTGGAGATACTGAAAATCTACCTATATTTCATGCCTCACATCACTTGGTAGGTATCCTCTACCAATTCCAAGGAAGAAATTTCATATTTAAAATACATAACAAGAGCGACATTAATGTGTTTCGAGAACAGTAACAGAGAGTCTCAATTTCCTTCTCGCCCCTCCAAAACAACCATACATATACAGGATACTCCAAATAGGGAAAAAACATAGGAAATACTACATGATATACACATATGTTCTATTATATCAGATAATATGATAGAATACAGATAAAGCTTAAGGGATAAAGGTACTTTAAAAATTATAGCTGAGGTTACAAAGAATTGCATCCCTCCAATATCTTTATCCTAAGATTTTTATTCCTTCTATATACTTATGTACCCATTTTTGAGAGTTATCACTGCAGTAACACTACTAGGACCATAGTTACCATCGTCCCTCATTCCATATATAAATATAGATACAAATGTGGATTGAAGAAAGGCAAGATAGAAACTTTGTGACTAACTAGAATTAGAGGTATCAATGTAAAATTATAATTTCTAAAATACTTACAGGTATGTATGAACACATGTTTATGTGCACATGGCATAAATATTAAATATACATATATATTAAAAAGATGTTTTAGGCTAGGACAGTGTGGACAATGAGATAAACCTAAAATAGCTTTTTAATACCAGCAAAGAGGAAAATGCTCAAAAAAATTTGAGGGGAGGGGATTTTATTACAAGACAGCTTGAAGGAATCCTTCTTCCAAGAATGAGACAATATGAACAAGATAACCAATAGTAGTCAATTAAACACCTTTTCAAAAATGGGAATTCATGAGTCTACATCAATATTAAATAGAAATGTGAACAAATATGTAGCAAACATGAAGAAGAATTTTTTTTATAGTTGGATGTTCAGAGCCTTACCTATGCAGTGGGAATGTCCAAATTGGAAAATCATTATTTCATGCCCATTGATTGGATAAGGCAAAGATTGGATCAGGAAAGATGGATGGATGCTAAATTTCAAGAGAATTTTGATAAAAAGGATACTGATCATACTAAGAGTATCTCCCCCAGAGTTACTTAGAGGGAAGAAAAACAGTAAGTCTACAATGGACAATATCTTGATGGGGTAATCAAAATTAACATCACTAATAAAAGACTGATCATTTGCCTCTAGACCTAAGTATAAGAAGGACGTAACACCATTATATCATTACATAGCATATTTTGGCAAATAAAAAAAAAACTTAATTTTTTTTAAAGACAGGCTCTTCCTCAGGCAGCCCTTGAACTTATAATCCTCCTGCCTCAGCCTCCAAATATCTGGGAGTATAAGCATGTACCACCACACCTGGTTATAATCTAAATTTAATTATAAGGAAATAGCAGAAAGCACAAATTAGGTAACAATCTATTGGCAGAGGTGCTATATATTTTTAAAATGTCAGTGTAATAAAAGATGAAGGAAAATACCATAAGGGTCATTACTAGGTCAGCTGAAACAATTAAAATGAGGATGACAGAACAGGAAAAAATTAATCAAGTATTTTGAAAGTTTTACACATACATATGTACACAGCCAAAGGATAAGCACAAGCAGTGAAGGTGGCTTTCTGTAATTCTTGTTCTATTTCTTGACCCTTTTTGAAGTTTAAAAATGAGATACACCAATTCTTTTTTTCTTATTTTTCCGTCTTCTTTCATTCTTAATTATTATTAAAAGAATTAAGATATGTTTTTTTAAAAAGAGATACAATAATATTGCAGCTTATTTGGTTGGCAAAAAAACAAAGGAAGTGAATAATAAAATGAGATATAATATGTGGACAAAGTCTGCTTTTCCTTTTTTAAAAAAAGTCTTCTTTGTTGTGGCTTATTCACAGGTAGCTAAGAAAACTAAGAAACTGAGCATGGCTACATTGCAGAGATGAGGTCATGCGGTCAGCAGTAGCTGAGTGACTGCATATGCATACTAATCTCTAGTTTCTTATTTGTGATGTACTGTTCATCTGCTAATTATCATACCTGACTAGATATTTGTGAAGTTATATGGTACAGAAAGAGTTCCCTTTAATATTGTATTTCCTTGCCATAATATTTTAGTTTTCTGTGTACTTCAAAACATGTCATATGAAATATCATTACACACAGTCACTTCACTAAAATATTAGGTCCTTTACCCTTGCAGAATATAAGCTCTAAAATGACAGAAATTTGCTCAATCTTTATTAACTTCAGGGAATAGAACTTTCCAGAACATACTATACACTAAACACAATTTTTGAATATGAAGGAGTAGTCACTGATACTATTTATACAGAATTAATGGAAATAATAATTTTTATAATTAAGATGATTCAAAAGAAAAGAAGGTCCACAGAATGCCCTTAATGAAATGAAACATGTAGTGAAAATGATAACTATCATCTATCTATATAAAATATGTATATATCTATAAACAGATAAATAGAAATTACTGCCCAATAATAATTTCCACTTAAACAACGACTGAGAAATTTGGAAAATGGGAAAATCAAAAATTTAGGAGATACATGTTACCTGTTGCATTTTTAAGTCAGTTCGGGCTTTAAAATCAGTCCTAGGAAGAACATTCCTATCTCTTAATACTCTTTTAAGGTGAAGTTCCATTCAAAGATCTTTTCTTTTATAATGATGAACAACAAAAAACTTTAAAATTGTTAAGCCAAATCATTCACAGGCATAACAAAGTGTCTTTTTCACATGAAAAATCTTGGCTTCACAGCTTGCACTTGTCTTCCAGTTGGAAGGGAAAGCCTAGGTCCTTAAATTACATGTTTGCTTCACACATACATTCCAATGTCCTTAAATAAGGGCATTTCATAGAGGAATATGCTTTGAAATACTTAACTATCTCTATAAAATGTGTACTGTGCTGGAAGGTGAATAACCAATGTTACCTTCAGAAAGAGAAACATAAAATTTAACCATTTCCTTCTTCCTGTGTAAAAACTGAAAATTTATGGAATGACATGAAAATTAACCATATGATCTTCATGACACCCTCCTTTTTTTCTAGAGTCACTAACTAGATTTTTTTCAGATGCTAATAAATACACAGCCTTATTATTCTATCCAGCAATTCTAATTTATACATGTATGTTCACAAGAGATCTATTTTTTGTAAAATTGTAGCAAAGATATAAGAAATAGCTATTTATTATTATTTTCCTACAACAAAATTATTTCAATAACAATAATACAGACATAAAGGGATCACTTTAAGATAGCTGATGTGGTATAAATGATTTCATTTGGTTTGGGTGGCCACTTACCTAATGTTGCCCAACTCACAATTTGATTTGTAAGAGGGAGTCCCTGTTTCTTGAATAGACTACTGTGGGTACTATACACAACATACATAGAAAGCACTGTATTTATCATCTGAAAATACAAACAAAACAGATCAATAAAAGAGGTGATGAAAGACTATATGTTAGAAAAAATGCTTAGGAAAATGCTGGGAACAACTAGCACATTGCCAAAATGCTACTGACATTGGACAAGATCACCCTCTTCTGGCCAAGGCTACAATTAGTACTTCTGTATGAAGCAAAGGACCTCTTTTATAACCATGATAAGAGACATTTTGAGAGCATACAGCATCACACTGTTCCTATTTATAGTATTTGTTGTAAAAGTTAAAGGTTTCTTAAATTATGGAAACAAAGAGGGAAAAATGTGTATAGGTTAGTAGTTTGTTGTATGTGTATAGGTTAGTTGTTGTAGTGCTTTTACCCCAGGCTCACCCTCAGTTATATTGACTTATTCATTCAAAACATTTTTGTGGTCTAAATATTTACCTGGCACTAAGAACACATAGAGTATAAATCCTCACAGAATATTTAGTGTAGAAGTTGGTAAACTATAATGTGTAGGGTGGTGGTCTGTTTTTATAAATACTGTTTTATTAGAACATAATTACATTCATTTATGTATTGTTTCTCTTTACATTGGATAGTAGAGTTGAAAAATTATAACACACTCCATATGATACACCAACCTAAAATTTTTATTATTTAGCTCTTTAGAGAAATGTCTGATTAATCCAAACTAGTAGATCAACTGCCATTTTTATTATTTATTTGTTTGTTTGTTTATGTATTTTTTGGTACCAGGAATCAAACTCATGAGCTTGCACTCCCAGGTAGTCACTGTGCCACTGAGCTACATCCCTGGCTCAATTGCCATTTTTCAAACAATGAGCTAACAGCTGTGTATGGTGGTACATTCTTGTAATCTCAAGGCTCCGGGAGGCTGAGACAGGAAGATCATAAGTTTGAAACCAGCCTAATAACTCAGTCAGACCCTGCCTCAAACTAAAAATAAAAAGGCCTAGGGATGCACTTTAGTGGTGGAATGCCCCTAGGTTTAACCCTCAGTAACACACATACACACACACACACACACACACACATACACGCACGCTACATTATGACTCTAAACAAAGTTCTCTTAATTCAGATTAGCAGTCTCATTAGCAAATTCTAAAAGATATATTTAATTATGCTTATATTTTCAGTGAATTAAGATGCAAAATTGGGCTGGGATATACTTTAGCGGTACAAGCACCAGCCTGGCAAGCACAAGGTCCTGAGTTTGATTCCCAATACAAAAAAAAGGAAGCAAAACTGCTGTTAATAAAGCGATGACACAATTCTAGGATCCTTTCAATTTTAAGACACTTTTACTTCACAGATATTAAAATGCAAAAAAAAGTATCTTGGAACCAATACAATATGGCAGGGTACAGGAATTAATGCAAACTAATAAAACTAATGCAAAAGAAGAGCTTGGCAATGGCCTCACCAAATACTCAGGGGTATTTCCAACAAAGCTGTAAGAGTTTTACCATATTCTTTCCTCCTCTAGAATGGGAGTCAGAGACATTCACTTCTGTCAAAGTTCTCATTATTATAGGTGAATTCTGTCAAAGCTACTTTGGCTTTAATGTAACCTTCATCAGTGTACCATTTAAAATAAAACATATGTTTCAGTGGTTTGACAGGATCTTTGACAAAGTATTTCTTCTTTTTTATTTCTTTTATTTCTTCTTCTCTGTTGCTTTCTGAGAATAAATTCAGTTTGTGATATCATCTTTTAAGTATGGCATATTTTTATTTCAGACTGTTTTTGGAAATACCATATTCTCTTATTATTCCAACTTTGTTCTGAGCAATTTTTTTAGAAGACTCATAAATTTCGTGTCCATGTTCTAGATATGGTTATTTATACATTTTATAAAAAGAGGTTTCCAATCTTATCTACAGAAAAAAGGAATTCATAAAATATTTATAATTTAATTCTCATAACACTATTACATCTACTTATAGGTTAAAAAAATACGCGAAAGTCAGATTACTAAAAATTGCACATCTACTATGCAGTATAGTTGGGAATTGAACCAAGTTTAAAACATTAGGTTTAAAGTTCTTTTTACTGTACCAAAGCCACTATCCAAACTGGTTTATCTTCTTGTAGCACATCATCTGAAGTCTTAAATTGGCTATTCTTCATATAAACATACCCCAGGCTGCTTTCATTTCAAAGAATATTGCCTTAAAAGAGGACTACACAGACACTTGGCATACTGGAAACCCTTCCAGTTTAGTTTTGGTCAGTAGAGGGGTCTTGTAAATCTCCCCAACCTTTTCTCTCCAAGCATCTTTCAGTTGCCTCTTGTTGATTTTTTTGCATTTCTTATATTTTAGAGAACATATTTCTGTGTAGTACCTTAAACAGAAAACTTTCTCTTAGCTGGCAGATATTGAGTCACATAACACAATGGTATCCTACGGACAGATTAAATATAACTATATGATTGCTTTTGTATATCATTAGATTAACACAGCATTGAAAAATCTGTAACTTACCTGTAATAGATATACCAACAACTCTTCCTTTCCAAAGCTAATTTTTCTTTTCATAAGAGATGTCACAACGAACAGGGATAGAAGAAGAACCAGCACACCTGCACCCATTCTGTTTCAAAATACAATTCACAATTTAAGATTTTCTTAAGATATTTATTGGACACATCATATGAAAACATGAGCATTTAACTCTAATGTAGAACTTCTTAATCATTTTGTTTGATCAAGATGAAGTAGAAAAATGGATAGATAGGCTTAATAGGAAATAATAAAAATAATGAAATAAAGATATAATTATTTTTGGTATCTTTACTTTCTATAAATAAATTTTTAAAAATTTATTGCTATGGTTTGTGTCTAGCTGTCTCCTCAAAGCCTCATGCAGTCGGGGACAGGCTTTTTGGAGGCAGCTGAATCTAGAATTTGTGACTGATTCATACTGCAATGCTGGGATTAAGGGTGCAGGGGTTAAGGTTGGATGATTGATGGCTGGATCAGTCTACTGATTGGATTGGCACTGCCCTAATCCCAGCAGTCTGGATAAGAAAGATAAAAGGAGCAGAAAGAGGCTTGTCTCTCCCTTTTTGATCTTGTTACTTTTTCTGTCTTCTGCCACCATGAACTATTGTCCCTCTACCATGCCACCCTGCCTTGGAATCAGCTGATTATGGACTAACCTCCACAAACTGTGAGTTAAATAAACGTTTTCTCCCTTAACTTTGGACATCTAGTATTTTGTTTCATCAATGAGAAAAGTTAACTAAGAGAGTTACATAAACCAAGTACCATAATTTTTAGTATGAATTGGAGAAATTTATAGAAAACAATAAAAAGAAAGTTAAAAATACATGATTAGCATCTATAACATACATTTTATGACTGTGGGCACCTTGTCATATTAAAAAGATCTCCATTTATAATTCAAATGATTTCTAGCAGGACAAACAGCTCCTTTCTTCATTGACTTCAGTGCTTCCCTCAGCTATCCTAGCTAAATGAAGGGTAGGACAGTGATGACAAGGGCTGTATACAGGTAAGTACATCAGTATACATTAATTTTGTTCAATGATGAAGCAACAGATGATACTTTTCAAAGGCATGGTGAGCCACTCCTTAATCCCAGCACTCAGGATGCTGAGGCAGGAGGACTGCAAATTTGAGGCCAATCTGGAATACACAGGTAAGATCCTATCTTAAAAAAAAAAAATCCCCTAAAAAACAAAACAAAACACCAAAAACACCAAATATTAGAATGGTTCCTGAAGTCAAAGGTGATATCAAAGAAATGCTGTACTACTGTTGAGGGCTATCTTTCTCTTCCTAAAAATGTGAATAGCATAATACAACTAAAACTCTGTTCAAGTCAGAATCTGGAGCTCAAAACTAACATAGACAAGAAACTGCTTTAAAAGAAACAAAGAGCAAATGTCAAGCTAGCTACCTAGAGAGAATACAAAGCAGAAATCCCCAGGAAATTGGTCTTGGATTTCAATTCTTTACACTTTGAGAGTCTTAATAAAAGAAGTATTAATATATTCAACATGGATTATATTAAAGCAGGGAAAATATGATGATTGTTTTATCTCTTTCCTTTTTAAAAAATAATGTGGCATTTTAACTCAGAGGCAAATAACATTTTTACTTTGGTGGAGTGCAGCAACAGTGATATTGTAGCTGTGTTAGACACAGTTTTGCTTTTTCCTCTAATGTCATCCTTAAATGTCTCACGTATATGTGTCTTTGTAATTTTCTAAAATATGGAATTGCTATGAGGGATCAAATGGGAAGAAGAAATTTCTCCATAAACCAGGAGTCAAAATAAAAAAGTTATAAATATAGTTAGTAGGAAACCAACATAAATTTAAAATCACTGAACAATTAAAATTTATAGAGTGAAGCAATATAATTAAAGTAACACATAAATTGCATTTTTATATTTTAAGATTTATTTGCTTCCTGCATTCATCTTAATACAACATGCAAGTGGCAAATATCTATGAAGATAATTTGTACAATTTCTTTTCCTTTTAGCATATGATAAATTCTATTTAACTATAAATTCTATTTAATAATTCTATTTAACTAAATTCTATTTTAACTATGTCAACATTGCTTGAGTAGGACCAATGGGACTGAAAAAAGAAAGGTGCTTCACAGCAACAACAAAAGAGCTCACAGAACAATTTGCAAGAAATAAATGCAAATATTTCCATTCACTTTTGTCATGTACTATTTACAGTTTATAATAGCTGTAAAATGTTTTACCTTAATAATACTCAAAGTATGCCTAGGTATGGTTTTAGAATTCAATATAATTATTTTGGGCTCTGCTAATAAACTGACTTCCTACGATAGTTCCTGAACATATTGGTTTTCTTTTTTTTTGGTACCAGAAATCAAACTCAGGACCCTGAGCTTGCCGGGCAGGTGCTTGTGCCTCTGAGCTATATCCCCAGGCCTGCATATTTGTTTTTTTTTAAACATAAATGAGAGAAAGGTATAGAACATCTTAAAGTAGTATGTATACGTATTTTTTTTAATTAAATAAATACTTGGCTTTTATTCTGTTAAAAAAGATATACTCTAAATCTCTTAATTTAGGTTAAAATGTTTTAAAATGATTATAGAGTTCAGAAGAAAGTAACAAAGATGTTTACATAGTTAGAAAATAAAAAGAAAATGTTAAATGATATCATAATGACTTAGCTCAGTGAACATACATAGGTTACTTAACTACCTAACCTATGTGTTGTAGGTTATTTAACAATAATTTAGAAGTTGGGTTAAAAACAAAGGTAACTGATTATTTAACAAGCTTATTTCAGTCATACTGAGGAGAAAGAAATATACCAGTAGAAGGAGGAATGCAGGTAAAGTACAAATAAGTATTTTCACACAATATGAATGACTAAACATGGAATAGTTTTCAAAGTAAATATTTCCTCCCATGAAAATATTTATATTCAAACTAAGATAGGAAGAAATTTTCATTTTTCCTGAGATATTTTGTGTGAACATGCTCAAAAGCAAAGATAGGGGTAACAATAGTTTTGGGGTCTGTTTTATTTTAGCAATAGAACATTTTCTCACATAAAACTAAAATTTTCATCAATGCCCCAACATTTAAAAGAAAGAAAAACTAAGACATTTTGGGGGAAGGTAGTATTTTAAGTTAACCCTGGAAGGTTTTCACTGTTTGTGAAAGCTGAGAAGAATCTCTAAAGAGACTAAATAATGCTCAGACTTATTCTAAAATCATGACCAGTAGTTTCATATTAATATTTTAACTTCCAGTTTACTTACATGACTTTAAATTCGTAAACAGGATTAGGTTCAAATTTCAGGATGCTGATTGAAAAAAAATTATATTGAAAGGGAAAGAAAGTACTGTTCATACACTAGAGAGATGTCTGGCTCTCGACCTACGACAGGCATCAGTGGGAACACTGCCAGAAGCAAACAGAAGAAAGTCCAACCCAGGGAGGTAATCTAAAATCAAGAAAAAAGTTATCTTTAGCCAAATATGGTATAAAAAACTGTTTTCTGTGTTTCATTGACTATAGGTGAAATTAAAGGGGAAATGTAAAACTTTATAGCAGTTTATTTTAAAAACTAATAGTTATTTTTGTGAAGAGACTTTTATAGTAGGTTCAATGAATATTATCTCAATTCTCAACAATCTAAAGAGGCAAGTTTTATTGTTAATAACACTTCAAATGAAGAAACTGAGCTCAAATAAGTCAAAATATAAGTAACACCAGGTCCACAACTAGTAAATGAAACAGCCAGGGCTTAACCTTGGGTCTGGTATTTCAAAGCAAGTGCCCCATTCAGTTCATAATTTTACTGTATGTTGATGACGACAAATGTATGAAAATGGGTCTATAATAGTAATAACATGACTAAGCCAAACAGGGAAATAAGTAAAACTACTTTTAAAATTAGATTAAGGCAAATGTGATAGTAAGCTCATTAACTGGGATTTTTATAAATTCTTATAAGGTAGAAAAAGAATATTTCTTCTTGCTACCTTCATCAAAAAGTATCAAAGTAAAAATGTAAGAACAGTCTTTGTAGAAGTATATTGTAAAACACTGCCTAAAGGATGAAAATCAGAATTATGTATTTTAAAATCAATTATGAATATATACTTCTCTAGAAAAAAACTGAAAGGCTCAGGGCCAGAAGGAAGGTGAATCCTCTGACTCCTAAGCCAGAGTGCTACTCTCGGCCTTCTCCATCCAGAAACCTGAAACTAAAGGAAGACAGGGATGCACTTCTCAGAAGGATGAATCACTGCCTCTTTAGCATTTCAAATATTGCATAACTGGCTCATTTTGATATGAAAATTTAAATCACTGAAACTTAAAGCTGATCCCTGAAACGTAAACCTGGTCCTCACATCAAAAACACCAGGTACTTTATGTAAGGATAAATTTTACCCTTTCGTTTAAAAATAATTCCTTGAATTAAACATATATCAAAACAAACTAGTTACTAATCTCTGTATAAATGAGTTATTTATACCTTTGCTCGAGTCCACAGCTGAGTGAGAAACGGCCAAACCGCAAATGCAATAAGTCCAGCTGTAAGCATACAGCGGTAGAAAAAACTGAGAATCTAGTGATACATTCCAAAGAAAATGAAAAATGAGGTCATTTAATACTTGTTACATACATATCAAAGAAATACGAAAATATTGCAATTGGTATAGTACTTACTAATACTTCAATTCCCAAAATAAAGACTAACAGGTACCAAACAAAATGGCTCAGAGGAAAGGTCAACAGTGATGCAACAAGATCTTGAATAACTTGAAACCTATTTCAAAAGATTACAAAAAGAGTTTTATAGTATATATTGAATTTTAAAATTATATATAGTAAAAAAATAAAACTTTATATAAAACCAAAATCAGGAAATTTTCTTACAGATTATTCAGAAACTAAGATAATCCAGTAGATTTGTTTCAATGGCTTTATTTAATTTTTTTTAAAAATCTGTAAGTATTTTAGGAAAAATATAATTTATTTAATTTGAAAATGATCATAAAGGTTTGCTTCGTTTTATAAACATCAGCAGTAAAAAATTTCTTATTAAATCTTCCTTTCAACATACAGATATAAAATTACAGACCTAATACCAGAAATAAAATATAATGAACCCAAATATACACAAACTAAAAAACCTTTTAAAATTCACCTAGATAACTTTATATTAAAAATATCAACTATTTTAATAAAATAAAGGTAAGTTTTCCTAACTTAGATAGGGAAAATCTTAACTGTACTTTTAAGCTGAACTAAATAATGTCCTCCAAATTCAATTTAAGATATCATTAATTATATACTAATTGTGAATTTATAACCATAAAAAATGAATTACATACTTGAGTACTTTTTACATTTCATTATTGAGAAGAAAAACTTTAGCATTTGTAGTATATTAAGTAGTGAATTTTAAAAGGTCAGTACTATTTGGTTTTGACCTTTTTCTAATTGAGAAAAATGGCTGCAGAAAGTTACCGAACTATTAAGGTGCCATGTAGGAAAACAAAGCTAATACCCATCAAAAGGAGAATGTTTCTTTTGTTTCAACAGTGAAGAGGCACACAGGAACAAAAGATGATTCCATATAATCATTTAGAAGATTTTTTTCCTAAAACTGAGTTTTTATGTTTTACTTTCTATATAGCCTATCAAAAAGATAAAGATGGAATATAACATACTTTCAAAACTACATGTTCCTTTAAAATTTAGATATATCTGTTACTTCATAATTAGGATATTGAACAATTCAGAGTAGATTCTCTAGTAGAACAGAATTTTTTGCAAGGATAAACCTTTCAAAAAATTGTAAAACTAGGAAAAATGACAGTAGAAAAAAAATACGAATTAAATAAGCATTCCAACAATCCTATTCTTTTTAAATGGAGAAAACTGTATGCCCTTTTACCTGTATCTTTTCCTTATATTAAAAGTTATTATTTTAAACAGAATACTATTTT